TGGGGAGTGAACCAGTGGATGGAAGACTTTTCTCTCTGTCTCTCCCTCTCACTGTCTGTAACTCTACCTCTCAAATAAATAAATAAAAATCTTTAAAAAAAAGACTCTGCTTGGGATGCCTGTACCACACAGGGGAGTCCTGCTTCTGGCCAGTGTGCCCCTGGGAGGCAGTGCTGGTGGCTCAGGTCCTTGGGTCCCTGCCCCCCACGTGGGAGACCTGGCCAGGGCTCCAGGCTCCTGGCGTTGGCTTGCCCCAGCCCTGGGAGTGAACCGCAAACGGAAGACGTCGCTGATGTCTGTCTCTCTGCCTTTCAAGTAAACAAAAGTGAATCAAATGGGAAGAGGACCCCGAAAGCAGAATGCAGAGCAGAGAGCCCATTTCCTGGGGGCTGACGGTGGGGGGGGGCTGCTGGGCGCGGGCAGTGGGTTCTGCCTGCAGTGCCTGTGACCTTGGAGGCTGACGCTGAGCCTCACGGGAGGCCCCAGCGTGGGTGACGCCTTGACGGCCACCTCGTGAGACCCTGAGCAGGGGACCCAGCTCAGCGGCGCCCAGACTCTAAGCCGCTTACCTGTGTGGCGCCTGCTGTGCGGTGTTGGGGAGCCAGGGCACTGGGGGCGGGACCGGGCAGCCCACCTTGTCCTTGCCCAAGCCACACCCACGGAGCCCCCAGGCCCGCCACGGAGGCTCCGCCGTCCGCTAGGCCACAGTCACAGCCCCCTGGCTGCATGCCCGCTGGCCTTGGGGGCCGCTCTGCACATACCGCACGCTGGTGTCCACGCCTCTCCCCTGCTTAACCCCTGCGATGGCTCCCCAGGGCCCCCCAGGCCAGGCTTCTCCCCACCTCAGCCCCTCCCCCAGGTGCCCCAGTGCCCTCCCCGCCACGCCCCCACCCCGTCGCCTGCTGCAGGGGCGCCCTCCCACCTGCCCCGGGAAAAGCCACTCTGGTGAGCGTGGCGATGCTGTGCCAGCTTTTCAAACATGGAATCAAATTCTGCACAGTTAGCAGCTGTCATACCTAGGTATGGTTCTCTGTTACAATGCTGTGTGGGAGACGTGGAAAGAAAAATCCCACCGCTTTCTGAATTAATGCGGCTGTTCCAGGGCTTCTTGGCTGGCACAAGCCACCGCATGAGGACGCGCAGCGGCAGTGACACCACAGGGAGTCGGGGCTGGCGCTTGGCCCAGCACTTAAGAGGCCACTGGGGGGTGCTGCGTGCTTATGTGGGGGTGCGGGTTCAAGTCCCAGCTCCACTCCAATTCCAGCTGCCTGCTAACGCACCCAGAGACAGAGCGTGCTGGGCCCCTCCCACCCGCGTGGGAGACCTGGGTGGGGTTCCGGCTCCTGGCTGTCCCAGCCCCAGCTGTCTCGGGCATCTGAGGACTGAATCACTGGACAAGATTCTCTCTCTCTCTCTCTCTCTCTCTGCCTCTCAATATCTCTTTCGAATCTATTTTGAGCGGGAGGAGAGGGGGCGCGGGGTCAGAGGTGAAGCGGGAAGCAGCCCCACTCGTTGGCACACGCCCGTCATTTGTCGATTATGTTACACACATGGAATGTGCACGGGAAAATGGAATTCAAAGCAAGTTTATTTTGTTTCTTAAAGTTCACGGCAGGGGCTGGTGTGACAGAGCAGGTAATGTCTGCCTGATGCCCGCATCCCACATGGGCCACAGGTTCTAGTCCCGGCTGCTCCTCTTCCTGTCCAGCTCTCTGCTGTGGCCTGGGAAAGCAGTGGAGGATGGCCCGAGTCCTTGGGCCCCTGCACCCACATGGGGGACCGGGAAGAAGCTCCTGGCTCCTGGCTTTGGCCTGGCCCAGCCGTAGCCATTGTGGCCATGTCAGGTGCAAACCAGCAGATGGAAGATTCTGTCTCTCTCCCTCTCTGTGTAGTTTTGATTTTAAAATAAATAAATGAATTAAATATTTTAAAATTTCATGGCAAATGTATATGATGAAAAAAACCCTTCGTGGGCTTCCAAAGTGCTTGCACCAAATTAGCTTGTCTTTCCATTCCGGTTTTGCACACGTTCTTTGAAGCACCCTCGTATGGATTTCATACGCACAGTAAAACATAAAAAGGCCTGGGAAGTCATACACAAGGCGTGAGTGGGGTTTCCTGGGGTGGGTGGGGGGGATCGTGGGTGGCCTCTGTTCTTCATATGCGCGCTTGAGTCTCTCTACTTGGGCACCAACAAGGACAAAACTAGGAATCCTGTTCAAGCTGAAACCATCTGTTTGGAGGACACGAAATATGGCGCAGCCTTAGTAACACCCCTTGTTCTCTCCCCGTAGCTGTACTTCTAGAGATGCACTTCTTACAAATTTAATTGCTTACTTACTTATTTGAGCAGAGAATGGGAGGGGTGCTCCCCCTGCTGGTTCATTCCCCAAATGACCACACTGGGCCGGTCTCCCACATGGGTGGCTGGAAGCCCAGCTCCGTGAGCCATCGCCTCTCCCCCCGCCCCGGGTCTGCCTAGCGGGAAGCTGGAGTCCGGAGCTGGGGCCGGGTCTGGAACCCAGGAACGCGGCTGTGGGACGTGGACAGCTCGAGCAGCATGTCACTGCCCGGCTGAGTGCCTGCCCCTGGACGGAAATGGGCGTGCTCGGGGTGGCTGTGCCGAGGTGCCCCCCGCCCCTGAGAGCACCGCTCGGGCTGACGCAGTCTGCAAAACTAATTAGCCAGGAGCAAGGGCTGACAACAAGGGATGATGCGCAGCAGGGTGCCTTTAGAATCCGCGTTCCTGGCCCCTGACAGCCCTGGGAGGCAGTGTAGACGTGTCATGGAGAAAGCCTCCGTGACCTGCACCTGCGGCTCCCCGGGGCCCAGGCATCCCCGGCGAGCGTTACCGCCCACCAGGACGACACAGCCCGCGTCTGTGCACTGAATTTATGCGCACAGTTGTTGTGTGACCCCCCCACCCCCGGACATTCACTCAACAGCCCTGCCGGGGGCACAACAGGGACTCGGGACCCCGTCCCCTTGATGGTGAGGAGGCCAAGGAAGGTTAACAGGACAACAGGAGTTCTGCCCGGCGACGCATGTGGACCCTGGGGCTCGCCTGGGTCTGGTGCTAGCACAGGAGTTGATTTTCCTCTTTGGGCTTTTCCGTGGTCCCTAACCCCATGCTGTTGACCATCACCTGTGAGTGCCTATTAGCAGTCCCACCCCCCTCCAGGCTGCCTCCCTTGGGAAGCCTGCTTGGGTTTCCACCAATAGACACCCCCTCTTCCAGGACTCCCCAAGCTCAGCCCTTCCAGAATCGGAAGGGGTTGATCTCTCCTCCTGGGATGCAGAGAGGCCCCCAAACCCAAGTCCCAACCTGGCCTCGGAGACCAGCACCCAGGGCTGAGGAGTTGGCCCCTCTGTCCACCCTCACCTGTGCCTCCCACACCGAGGGTGCAAAGAAATCCACTAGGGCAGGGAGCCCTGGGGGGGCCACTTGGGGGGACATGGAGCCAGGAGGGCGGGGCTGCAGGCATTGGGGGATGGGGAGCCAGGTGGGCGGGGCCACCTGGGGGGGACGGGGACCAGGTGGGCGGGGCCGCCAGCTCTGCCTGTCTGCGGCATGTGGGGGAGGGGCGTGAATGCTTGCACAGCAGTAAATTTGTACAATTTGAAAGCTCAGTCCCCCTGGGGGGGGGGGGTCTGCACAAACCCCAGCTCGCCCACTTCCTAGGAGATGGCCCCTGGCCTTGACCCCACGCCCCATCCCCAAGGGCTGAGAAGTCCTGAGCTGCCTCCCTGGGCTGTGGCTCTGGAAGCCCCTGGACCAGCGTCAGGAGGGAGGGAGAGGTGGCCCCCGCCTGGGTGGAGTCTGGGGCGGGCGAGGTCAGGAAGAAACCGACTCGCACTCTGGGCTGGGCTGGGCGGGGAGGGGGCAGCCCCGTTCTGCTGCCTCTGGCTGGGGCAGCAGGTGTGAGCAGCCCAAGGCCCCCACCTGCAGGGTTGGCCCTGCCTCCCCCTCTGCCTTGGGACTCATCAGCTCCTGCTCTGGGCACCACCCTTCCCCACGGCCTCTCCTGCACCTGCCACGCCCTGAAGGCCCCAACAAGGGCCATGCCACAGCCACTGTGCCCGCTGCACCCTGTCCAGCCCCTGCCCACCCCTGCGGGACACCCCCACACACAACCAAACAGGACCAGGACTCAAGGCGCCTGGCTCCCCTCCCCCTTCACTTCCCAGCCCCAGGCCCCGGGGCTCTCATCTTTGCACCCGGGCTTGAAGACCCCTGAAGCCTCAGACTGCGTCTGGGGGCCCCCCCTGCCAGGGTCAGAGGGCTCTCCCACCGCTCCCGCACCCGCCCTCCCTGGGCTGTGGCACTTGCCGTTCTGCAGGCCCTGGCCCCTAGGCCAGAACTCCGTTGCTGCAGGTGCAGGGTCGTGGAAGAGCTGCTGGGCCCGTGGACGGATGAGGGCCGCAGGAAAACGCCGGAACAGACGCGTGCCAGGCTGCCGCCCTGCACGCTGTGCCTTCCTCTGTAAACGCCCCCTCTATCAGTGCCGGGCTCTCCCAGGCGGGCGCCCGAGGCCCGGGGACAGAGGCCGCGTCTCACCACCAGGGGGCAGTGTGACCGCTTCCAGCTCGGCACTTCCTGCCGAGGTCTGGGGTCTCGCAGCGCCGAGCCCCTTCCCCCCCAAGTTCCCCCAGGGCAGGCCCCATCAGTCAGAGGGGCTGGGGCCTGCGGGGTGCTGGGAGGGAGCACTTGGGGAAACTGAGGCAGCAGGGGTTTGGAGCCGGGTAGCCCCGGGCTCAAGGTGTCAGCCTTGCACTGACAGCAGAGAGGCGGGAATGCCACAGGGGAGGGGACCCCGACTTGGGTATCCTGGGGCTCACCTGCTCCCGCACTGGGAGGCTGGGTGGGAGCAGCACCGGGGTCCCTCGGTGTGTGCCAGGGACCAGTCCTGACCGTCAGCCCCAGGCACACACCAGCAAGCCGCAGCCTCGGGCCTGCAGGGGCGGGGAGGGGGACCCCGGGAATGCAGCACCCCAGAGGCTCCGAAACTGCCGTTTAATGATTGACAACCACACGCGCGTGGTCCGATGGGAGCCTGGGACACAGGTGTGCACACACACATGCACACGGTTCCCCTGGGTGGACAATTGCCATTTTCAGACTTCACAGATTTCGAAGGAGCCACAGCGCTCTTAGGGACGCAGTCTGGACCGCGCTCTGGAGTGGCCCGGGGGGTTGGCCCACGCGGTCCCGCCCAGGGCGGGGGCTGGCTCTGGGAGTCCTGAGCAGTCTCTCTCCGCCACGCCCGGGGAGGGGGCATGTGCCATCACTCGGGGTGGAGGATTTTCTACTTGTCTGAGAGCAGTCTCTCAATGGCCCCAGTCGGCCACTCCATCCAGGAATCTAAGGGGCTAAGAAACACGCAGGCACACACATGTATGTGCACACATACACACGTGCACACACATGCTCACACAGGCCACGCGAGCAGCCGGCTTAGTAGGAAGCCAGGGCCCCTCACACAGCAGCTGGCGCTGGGCGGTCACAGGTGGCGGGCGGCGCTGGCCCTGGGCCGTCACAGGTGGCGGGCGACGCTGGCGCTGGGCGGTCACAGGTGGCGGGCGGCGCTGGCGCTGGGCCGTCACAGGTGGCGGGCGGCGCTGGCGCTGGGCCGTCACAGGTGGCGGGCGGCGCTGGCGCTGGGCGGTCACAGGTGGCGGGCGGCGCTGGCGCTGGGCGGTCACAGGTGGCGGGCGGCGCTGGCGCTGGGCGGTCACAGGTGGCGGGCCGCTTCCCAGAGGATCTGCAGGGCCATGGAGGCGCAGGGCAGCTGGGCCAGGGTGTAGGCCACGGAGCGCGTGGGCGGCCGCAGCTTCCCCAGGTAGGCTACCGTGTGCACCAGGCGGCCCAGGAAGAAGACGAGGAAGTGCATCCAGGCGACGGAGGGCTCAGGCCCCAGGAAGGAGTAGACCAGGCCCAGGAAGAGGAAAGGGTAGATGGTCTCCATGTCGTTGCGGTGGGCTCTGCGGAGGCAAGGCGGGAGTGAGCCAGGCCCAGCACGGCGGCCCAGGGCAGGGGGCTGCTGGGGGTGAGCCAGGACCTCCCAGCACAGCCACCCGGGGCAGGGGGCTGATGGGGGGTGAGCCAGGCCCTGGGCAGCACAGCCACCCTGGGCAGGAGGCTGCTGGGGGTGAGCCAGGCCCTCCCAGCACGGCCACCCCAGGCCAGGGGGCTGGTGGGGGGTGAGCCAGGCCCTGGGCAGCACAGCCACCCTGGGCAGGAGGCTGCTGGGGGTGAGCCAGGCCCTCCCAGCACAGCCACCCCGGGGCAGGGGGCTGGTGGGGAGTGAGTCAGGCCCTCCCAACACGGCCACCCTGGGCAGGGGGCTGGTGGGGGTGAGCCAGGTCCTCCCAGCACAGCCACCCCAGGGCAGGGGGCTGGTGGGGGGTGAGCCAGTCCCTGGGCAGCACAGCTGCCTGGGGCAGGAGGGGGCTGGTGGGGAGTGAGCCATGCACTCCCAGCACAGCTGCCCGAGGGGCCAGGGCCTTGTCCCCCACCGGGTCCCAGCTGCTCAGGTTCCTTCGTGGGCACGACCAGGAGGGAAGCAGCAGTGCCCAGCAGGGGCCTGGAGCAAGCGGCCCGGGAAAGCCAAGACCCTGGGGAAGCACTGGCCGCTGGCTTCCGTCTTCCCACGGTGGCCCCTGCCACACTCGGCCCTGCAGTGCCCTCTGCTTCCAGGACACGAGCAGGAGACATGGGACTCGGAGCGGCTGGGCACTTGGTGGAGCCGGGGTTCGAGCCCATTCTGACTTGAGTTAGGGCTTTGGACCCCCAGGGCGGGTCTCTCCTGCGCCTCCTTCCGCCTGGCTCTGCTGCTGCCCCCTACACTCAGGTGCCAGAGACAGCAATCACCAGAGCCGCGGGTGCCCCCTGGGGCCGGCCCAGCCCCCACCCGGGGCCCAGAGCTCCGCCTCCTCCTCCTGCCCTGGGACCTGGCTCGGCTCCTTGTTTAAAGTAGTCGGGCGTGTGGGTGGGAGGAGCGGGGGCTGTGTGTACCCCACCATAAATAATCGGCCGAGAGAAAGCTCACCCACTTCTGCTAAGAGCCGGCTCATGTTTCCCGTGACCCCTGTTAGCGGTCAGTTTGCTTTATGGAGGGGAAGGATGTCGGTCCCATAAATCAGAGACTAGGAGCAACCAGACCCTGGACAGCCATGGGCGACCACGCGGAGGGAGCGCATATAAACAGGAGTTCGGAGCCCAGGTCGTGCCCTCCCCTGCGACAGGCCACGGCCCTGCAGGGACAGAAGCCCCCGCTCCAGACCCCCGCTGGAATGGTCACCACAGGTGCTGGTCCAGCCAGAGGCCCCTGAAGGTGACCTGACCCGGAGGTCTCCTTGTCACTCCTGCTGGCAAGTGGGGTCTCGGGTGGCGGCCTAAAAAGAGGGCAAGGCAGGGCCCAGAGTGCCGGACACCCTGGCACTGGGCAAGGTGGGGGCGGGGACATCTCCGCAGTGTGGCTGGGTGGTCCAGAAAGGAGACTGGACAGTCAAGGAAGAACTCTCCTGGGAGTGGGATTGACACGTGCAAAGGCCCTGTGATAGGAGTAAGCTCAGAGAGGCAGCGCAGGGGCTGGAGCGCGGCGCAGGGGCTGGAGCGTGGCACAGGAGAAGAGGGCACCCGGGAGGTCGGGGGAGGAACCTGGAGTTCAACCTGAGGCACAGACACTCCCGCAAGCCCAGCGAGGCCTGGAGCTTTCTCAGAATGAACTTGGGGGCCAGCCGCTGGCGTCTCCGTCCCTGACGCGAGCCTCGACTTCGTGACCCAGCTACGGGGAAAGCAAGTGGACAGTGCCCATCCCATCCGAGCACAGTTCTAGTCCCAGCTGCTCCACTTCTGATCCAGCTCCCTGCCTGTGGCCTGGGAAAGCAGTGGAGGACGGCCCAAGTGCTTGGGCCCCTGCACCCACCTGGGAGACCTGGAAGAAGCTCCAGGCTCCCGGCTCCCGCCTGGCCCCGCCCTTTGGGGGAGTGAACCAGTAGACGGAAGACCTCCTTCTGTCTCTCCTTCTCTCTCCATAACTCTGCCTTTCAAATAAATCTTTAAAAAAAAAAAAAAAAAAAGGCAAGTTTGCATCCGGGCAGGTGTCTCCCAGCTCTGGGAAGACGCAGCCTGCCCACAGCAGAGAGAGGCGGGCTCTGGCGGATCCTGGGGGCCCGGCCTCAAGGGGGGAGAGGAGTAGGCGGGGACTGGGCCACTCCAGGTCCACAGCCTTGGCCGGGGCAGCAGGGGACAGCGTCTGGGAGGGCGGGGCCTGCACTGCCCCGGGCCACTCCACCAAGCTCCCTCCCTACCCTGGGAACCATGAAAGCAAAGACGAGCTTCCCCCAAAATCACTCCGCCCTGTGGACGCGGAGCAGTGTGCCCGACGCCCCCTGGGTGCCCATCCGAGGGACCCCTTCTCAGACGAAGCCAACACGTCCCCAGACGCGGCTGCCGACCACCGACAGCCCCCAAGGCGGTACCCCGGGAGGAGCCGTTCTGCGGTATTTACGTACAAGGGCCCGCCAGATGTTTACGGGAAAAAACGGGACAAAAAGACGCCTCGATTTTGGTGCCAAAAGCTCTGGAATCCAGGCGTGCAGGGGGCTTTTTAAAGCCCATAGAAACATGCCTGTGATTTCAAAATTGTTTAACACCAAAATAAACTCTCTTAATCCCACCTTCCGCAAACTTTGTGGAGCACCCGCGTATTTATTTGAAAGCTGCAGGGAAAGTACAGCAGCGGAGAGAACCCCTCCGCCCAGACCGCTCTCCCCAAAGAGCGCGTTTACCCTCACAGAGCCTGGGAGGAGCGCACGGCCACGGCCAGGCCCAGAGAGCCGGTGGGGGAAGAAGCCGGGCAGCGGGAGCGGGCGGAGGGAGCAGAGGACCCTGCAGAGAGCAGGCTGAGCCTCAGCGGCTCCCGCCCAGGGTCACCAGGCAGGGCTGAGAAGGCTCCCCGCGGCCTGGGGCTGGCCCAGTGCAGGGACCGGGACGCAGCCAACTCACCTCCCGCCCCGCCCCCGCGGCTGAGACCTGGAGGGAGTCACGTAGCAGACAGAGCCCGGGCCCTTGTGTGTCAGTCAGGGCGGCCGCAGCTGGGAGGGCGGAGGCTCCCCAAGCCAGCTCCCGCCAGCCGTATCCGGCCTGCCTCTCACCTGCCGCGGCCAGCCCAGCCGCCTGACCTCCCCGCACCCTGGGGCAGCTGTGTGGTGAAGACAGGTGCCAGCCAGGGCAGACAGCCTGGGAACGCTAGCGCCAGGCCCGGACCTTGAACCCCCAGAGCCGAGGGCCGAAGCAAGCCTCCTCCTCTACAGCTCAGCCAGGCTGTGGTGCTGGGCCCAGAGCGCCACGCTGTCCTCGCGCACGCGTGCCCAGGGACAGCCGGGCCTCCTGGCCTCCTGCAGAGCTGGCCCACATTCTGGCTCCAGCCCATGCCAATCTGCAGAGCAGATCCCACTCCCAGAACCAAGCTGTAAGCGCGCCTGTGTGGACTCGGATTGCCCCGTGCACGCTGGGCTAACATTTAGCCAAGTTTTGCTTCTGGGGGCTGGGGTGTCGGGGGTCTTGCTGGGTTCCAGCCGGCCTTCCGGAATAGACGGCAGGACTGGTGGCCCCCTGGGTTTGCATGTCGTCCGGTGAAGTCTGGGGGCTGACGAGCCCTGGGGACCCAGCAGCCCCCCCAGGACACAGGAGCCCCCAGTGCATCCTCATGGATATAAAGTGGATGAGTGGGGGTGGGGGAGGGAGGATGGACGGACGGGGGATGGGCGGTAGCTGGGTGGGGCTCGCACTGCTCCTTACACATTGTAGCCACACTAGAAAGAGTGGAATAGCAACAGCCTCCACGCCTACATTACACATCCCCGTGATGTCTGGAAACCGCAGGTGCGGATATTATTGTCCACGGCCAAGAAAAACATCAGAAGAAAAGCCACAGCCTTCCTTTTCATGAAGGAATTTCTACTATTCAAACTTCAGCGTCCCACCCACTCCCGCCCTCACACCTGGGGCCTCCGGAGGGCTTCCTGCTCCTCCCCCACCCCCCATCCCCCACTCCGCCCGGAGGCCCCCTCCCCAGGCCGCTGCCAAGAGCGGGGAGGCCGGCACTGGCCACAGGAAGTCGACATCGCGTCCCACGCTGATTTAGACTCAGCCGGGCCTGGAGCATCAGGCTTTCAGTCCGCCTGACCGTGGAAAGCGCTTGTGACACAGAGGCTGCTGGGAAAACAGAACCCCGAGGACAACCCACGGCGCGCCTGCTTTTATGAGACGTGTTTCGACACAGAAGACAAGAGAGGGCCGGGAGTGTTACCAGGGCTGCGGATCGGGAGCGGTTTCCTTCGCATCCTGTGGATTTTCACCACGACCCAAAGCGTCTGCGTGGGCCGCTCCCATGTCCACAGGAGGGGAAGCTGTTTCTAACTAACTGGGGACGCGTGCGGCCCACGGAAAGATGGCCGCCTCCACTCAGGAGGAGAGAAACACAAAACAAAGCCCAAACGCGGTCTGAATCTTTGCCGGTCACGTCGGCGGAGGTCTGACAGTTTGACCGCATGTCGGTCTGCTGAAAATGGTGTTAAGGGCCGGCGCTGTGGCGTAGCGGGTAAAGCCGCCGCCTGCAGTGCCCGCATCCCATGTGGGCGTCGGTTCTAGTCCCGGCTGCTCCACTGCCCATCCAGCTCTCTGCTGTGGCCTGGGAAAGCAGTGGAGGATGCCCAAGTCCTTGGGCCCTGCACCCACATGGGAGACCTGGAAGAAGCACCTGGCTCCTGGCTTCAGATCAGCACAGCTCTGGCCGTTGCAGCCATCTGGGGAGTGAACCAGCGGATGGAAGACCTCTCTCTCTCTCTCTCTCTCTCTCTCTCTCTGCCTGGGGATGGCCTAAGTTCGAGTCCCAGCTCTGCTCCCGCACACCCTGCGAGGCAGCAGTGACCTGCCGCGGCTGCTGTGGGCATCTGGAGAGGGAAGCAGCGGAAGCGAGGCCTCCCTCTGTCTGTCTGTCTCACCCTCAGCCTTTAAATAAGTTTGTGGAAAGTGAAAGTTAAGGGAAGTTTATTTTGGTGCAAATCTTGCTATCTACACATAGTCAGCACCACTGCACACATTTTCCATGAATTTTTTTTCACCAACTTCTGAAACGCGCCTTGAGCCGCACATTCGTCATCTACACGGATTTCAGGATGTTTTTGCACCAAAGAAAACTTATCTTTTAACCCCATTTTCCACTGACTTTTCAAAGGGCCCTGTGTCACCTTCTGAGGATTTGTTAGACAAGGAACACACAGGTGCACGGGAGAGCGCGGCCCCTCGCTGTGACCCGGAAGTACTTGCCTGAGGCACCGCTCCACATCCGGGTCGCTTCTGCAGTACTGGGGGCCCCCGTGGCGCAGGGCGTCCTCGGGGTTGGCGAAAGCCTGAAAGACAGCAGCGGAGGATCACTGACCGTCCCCCCAGGCCTGCCCCCTCTGTCCCTGCATTGGGACAGAGGTCTGGGTCACACACCCGTGTCCACACAGCCACTCGGTCTGCCCCAAGACCCTTCTGTCCCTGCTGCCGCGAAGCTCACAGCTGACCGGGAGCCACCTCGGAACCAGGGGAGACCAGGTGGTCTCCCCTGTTCACAGAGATGTCCGTGGGGGTGAGAGAAGGCTCCCCTGAGGTTGAAGGGGGCATCGACAGAGCAACAGCAGGTGCAAAGGCCCTGGGGTCAGAAGGAGCTGGACAGCTTAGAGCAGGAAAACCAGCTCTGGGGAGCCCAGAGGCCATGGGACAGGGCCCGGGATGGAGGTGCAGGGGTCAGCGGGGTCCTGGAGGCTCCGTCAGAATTTGGACTTGCAGCAAATGCATGGAGGGAGCCTTACCAGCCCTGGCCTTGAACCCCGGCTCTGAACTTCCCGTGCCGTGGCTTCCTCACCTGCAGATTCGGGTGGAAGGGAGCCCAGGCACCCGGTGATGGGCGGGCGGAGGCCGGGGGAAGCCTCTAGCCCTGGGGGGGGGGGGCGCTCAGCGTCCCTCAAGGTCACGCTCCAGGCAGCAGGGGTCCAGCCCCCAGCCCCCAGCTCCCGCTCCACCTGCTGCCGCCCGGGCGCTCCAAGCAGAACCTGTCTCAGCGGCAGCTTTGCCATAGGGCTCATCCGATGGCCAAACCCGTGCTTCCGACTCAGCGCTGGCCCGAGGGCAGGCCTGCCCTGCCCCCATGTGAATGGCCTGACCCCTGTTGGGTTACCACAGGAGCTCCACACCCAGAGCCCCTCCCTGCCGGCCCTGGAGTCCACACGTCGGCAGCTACCCAGAGTCTGCAGGCACGGGACCCCCTTCCTAGGGCCTCAGCATTCAGGGGACGCCTGCCTTCCGAGCTCATGGCCTTGCTCACCTCGCGCTCACGCCAGCCAGCCAGGAGCCAGCCTTAGCACTTCCTGTTGCCGAAAACCTGGGCTCCGACTCCCCCAGGGGCAGGGTGGGAGCCACTGGCGTGGGCTCCAGTCATAGAGGCTGAGAGCGTGGGCTCAGGGCAGGCACTGAGTACCCCCGCCCGCTCTGTGCCCCTAGACTTGCCTGAGGTGGGGGATGGGCAGAGAAGCCCCGGCCCTCCGTGGGCACCACAGGGGCACCACAGGGGCCTGTCGGGACCCTGAGCCCCAGAAGCCCCAGGGGGCCGGCGAAAGGGTTCCTTTCTGCAGAGCAGGCAGGCCCACCTCCTCCCACCCCTAAATCCCCTCGGGAAGGCTCGCCAGCCCTGGGACGACCGTGGGCCCTGGACCCGCTCCCTACGTTCAACCCCGGCTGTGTGAACTTAGCAAGCACTGTGAGAAGCCAGAAGCCCAGGGCGGCCTCTAAGCCCGGGTGAACACAGCCCCCCCGCCCCCAGCCTCCCCCAGGGCCGGGGCAGGAACTCTCGCGTTGCTGTTCATTTATTTTTATGTGAAAGGGAGAGATAGCAGACACAGCAAGATCTCCCATCCGCTCACTCACTCCCCAAACACCTGCAACCATGGGGGCTGGGCCAGGCCGAAGCCAGGAGCTCAGGACTCAATCCGAGTCTCCCAGGTGAGTGGCAGGCACGGGGTGCCTCAGCCATCGCCCAGGGTGTGCAACATTAGCAGGAAGCTGGAGGGGGAGCGGAGGCGGGACTGGAACCCAGGCACTGAGGCCGGAATTAACTGATGCACTGCACGCCCGCCCCGCTGGGGATTTAACACCCAGAGGGCGGCACACAGGAAGGACTCTGGGACTGACTGCAGGTGTCTGGCTCCGTGCTGGGATCTTGCACCTCCCACCCGTGCCCCAGGCAGGCTGCGTGTGCCTGCACCAGGGACTGAGCCGCTCCCGGGCAAGCTCCAGGCTCCCAGGGCAGATGTCTGGAGTCTGGGCCCCTAGCTTGCCTCCCAACAGGAAGACGGCAACAGGAAATGACTCCCCACTTAAAATACCTGGGCAGATAAGCAGCAGGTGCCCCAGGGCCTCCGCATTCTCCCACGGACCTGAGCGTGGCCTGGGCTTTGCAGACCCACCCCGATCTCGCGGGCACTCAGTGCCGGGTGCCTTGTGCTGCCGCGCTGGACCCTGTGCCTGCCCCGGCCCCCTCTGGTCACCGTCGGGGTTCAAGGACTTGGACGAGGAGGAAAGTCCCCACCGGGTGCCCCGCGGCCGAGACCCAGCCTCTGGAGGCCGCCCCGGGTTCCTGGGCAGCCTGCGCCTGGGAATTTCCACTGAAAATCTTGTGGCTCCCACTCGCCCGAGCGTCAGAGCTCCTGGGCCGGGAAGCCGCCGGGTCAGGCGCAGGCTTTGCACCCGCACGCCACTCACGGATCCCACGCGCCACCGTCCAGGGAGGCCGGGGCTGAGTCACCTGTCCCGACAGCAGGAGCCAGAGGCGGCGGGTGCTGCTGGCCCCCAGAGCCAGGGGGGAGCCATCCAGGGGTCTGGGAGGACACGGTCCCGAGCCTGCTCACGCACTGGCCCTCACACCGCCTGGGCGGCTGTCCCTGGGCGGGAGCGGGCGGGGCCGGGGGATCCCCGCGGAGGGCACGTACCTTCTTCCGAAGTCTCACTTGCCCGGTGATGACGGCCACCACGTACATCTTCAGAACCAGCAGTGCGCTGCAGAGCAGGAAGGCTGGGAGCGCCTGGCCGCTCGTCATGGCCAGGCCGGGAGCAGGCATGACTGCGAGGAGCGCTCCGGGATGGACAGACAGACGGAAGGACGGACGGACGGATGATGGCGGCGGCAGCGGCGGCAGCGGCGGGACTGAGAGTGAGACGGGCGCCTGCGGGAGAGCACGGAGGAGGTGGGCAGAGCCGCCGTCCCCACCCAGCACCCGCCCACTCCCCGCCCGCCGGCCCGCCCGCCGGCCGTGCCCGCGGCCCCCTCTCCTGGGACGGAGAGGAGGAGCTACTCCTGCCTCCGGATGCTGCTGGAAGGACGCAGAGCCCGGAGATCCCCACGCCCACCCCACCCCCACCCCCATCCGGCGCTGGCAAACCCTGAAACGCTTTCGAATCCCACTCAGATCCGCTTCCCCGGCTGGAATGCTGGGGTTTCGGGAAGAGCCTGCCTGCTGGGGGTCGGGGCCCAGAAGGGGATCCCCCCACGTGGCGGATGTCACAGATCCATGACCGGAGGGGTCAGGGCAAGCTATCTGCCCCAGCCACGCACGTATGGCCGAGGCTTTGCTGTCCATGGGGGCTTCCCACCTGCCTGGGGTCCACATGTCCTCCCTAGAATCTGCAAACGCGTCACCTTCCGCGGCTAAAGGACTTTGCAGACAGGGGTCTCCTAAGGACTGCCAGTGAGCACCAGGCACCCTCAGGGCCTTTAGGAGGCGGCAGCTGGCCTGGGGACAGACGCGGGGCTGCAGTTGTGGGAGGAGCGAGCTGCAGGCGCTGGGAAAAGCCAGGGGAAAAGTCTCTCCCCCGGAGCTCCTCCAGCCCGCGGCTCCTCGCCTGAGCCCCGTGAGCCCGGTGAGGGCGCACCTGGGCCATCTCCACCACCGGATGTGCCATTCGTTACCACGGTGACAGCGACCAGGCCCCTCCAAGGCCAGTGCCCTCTCCTCCCCTGGAAGCCTCCCCCGGAGAGCACCAACCCTCTGAGCCCCGACATTCGCCGGCTCCACCACCTTGCTGTTCCCGGGGGGCCTGGTGAATGCAGGGGTCTCCTGCTCTCTCAGGCTCTGCTGGCGTGCCGGGGTGGAGTGGGGTGCGGGAGGGAGAAAATGGCCTCCTGCACCTGCTCTGTTCTTGGGAACACCTGGAGCCTCAGGGATGGCGCGGAGATCCGGGGCAGACCGGCCAGAACCAGACCCAGCAGGCCTCGAGCCCAGTGCCAGCCCTAGGAGGAGGTGGGGGCAGCTGTGCGGCCCCGGGGCAGGCAGGGTCCCCACTCTGAGCTGGTGTCCTCGGCTGCGAGGTGCGGCCGGCCCCCGTTGCTGCTGCTGACCGAGCACCCGGCACGGAGGTGGCCCACGATCAGGATGAGCCTCTGGGCCTGGGCTTCCTCCTCCCGGTAATGGGGCCGCTTCCCTCCCCAGCGGGACGTCAGGAGGGCGGCTGGGGAACCCGCCCCTCCTGCTGGGGACCGTGGTGTCCTGCCCCTCACCATGTGCTACGCACTGCTTTACCTGGGCAAACACTGTGTTTGATAAAGCGACTCTCGTGTCCTGAGTCCCCGGCTGCCCGGACGGACTCGCGCTGGCACCCACAAAGGCCCCATCAGGCACGGGGCACGGCCAGTGGGGGCGCACCCCTGCATCCCGGGAGCCGAGCGAGCCCCCTACTTGCTGTGTGCGGACGCCGATGCCTGCTTCTCTTGTCCCAGTTCTGGGAAACCACTGGAGGCAGCTTGGGCCTTGTGGAGAAAGGCAGCTACAGGCGCGTGGCCCTTTGTCCTCATGGCTGTGACCCCAGGTTAAGTCAGCCACGCCCACATCGGAGTGCCCGGGCTCCTGGCTGTAGCTCCCTGGGAGGCAAGTGACGGCTCCAGTGATGGGGCTCCTGCACCCTCGTGGGAGACCTGGAAGAAGCTCCCGGCTCCTGGCTTTGGATCGGCCCAGCTCAGGCTGTTGTGGCCATTTGGGGAGTGAACCAGCGGATGGAGATCTCTCTCTCTCCCTCTCTGCCTCTGTCTGTAACTCTATCTCACACAGGTGCAGGGGCCCAAGCACTTGGGCCATCTCCACTGCTTTCCCAGGCCACAGCAGGGAGCTGGATCGGAAGTGGAGCAGCCGGGACTCTAACAGGCGCCCATATGGGACGCCAGCACCACAGACGGCATCTTTACCCGCTATGCCACAGTACTGTTACTGGAGAAATTGCAGGGTTCTTGTCTTCGTGCCAGAAAGAATTCAGGCATGAGACAGAGAGTAGTAGGAGGTAAAATAGCAAGGTTTATTAGGGCAGGGACATCCATAAGGATGGATGGGCACCCCCCAGACAGAGCCTGAGAGACTGGGGGGGGGGGGGCAGCGAGGTTACATGATTGAGTGGAGAGACGACACCTGGCCAGGCCAGGCGGGCGGCTCAGCAGAGAGGCAGAGGGCTGAGCGCACTGTCCGCTGTCCTGTCCGCTGTCCGCTGTCCGGTTGAGGCTGGGGGTTTTTAAGGAGATGGGTCTTTGTCTTCACACATCTCCTCCTGAAACAAAGGGTTTTATGGCTGTAAATATTAAGAAGCTCCTGTCTGAGTTTTCCCCTGAAGGTATCAGACAGGAGGAAGCCTAGCTGGGCCATCCTGGGTTCAGAGGAAGGGTGAGCAGGACCCCCTAGAGAATGGGGATCCGGAGCAGGGTGTTTGAAATGCTGACACTGGGCTGCACCTGGGAGACTGTGGGAGATTTGTCAGGCAGAAGGGGCGGGGCCCCCACCTGGCAGGTTATCGGGTAGGAGGGGGCAGGGCAGGATGGGAACACTGGGCTGCCCCTGCAGCATTATCGGGATGACTTGGAGATGCAGATGCAGATGCTGGACATAGGAGTCTTCTCCGGAGGCCTTTATCACACACACATAAGCTCATACCTAACTTCCTGCCTAACAATACCAGCCGCAATAAATAAAATCTTAAAAGAAAAAAAAGGCCCAGCTATCCGGTTGGGGGCCAATGCCTGTGCCACCCCCAGAATCGTGGACCAGACCCATCCTGTGACAGCCTGAGCCTGTCCTTCGCGGGGCGGGGCTGCTCTGCCCCGCTGGTTCTTCTCAAAGGTCAGGAGAGACGCGCTCCTGGCCCAGGGCTGGGCAGAGGGAAACCTCCCGCCCACGGACCTGACCTCAGCCGGAATCTCTTCCTCCCAGCCGCTGAAATGAGCCAGCGAGGCCACGGCTTGGCAAGGAGGACAGAACCTTCTCTGATCTGCGGCCAGGGCCGTCCACAAAGCTGCCCTCGGCCGGGGGAGCCGCCGCTGCCGTTTGGAGCGCGGTGCCGACCGTGGCCGGGCTCCTCACTGGGCCTCGGTTTCTTTGCCTTTCGGTGAGCTCGGTGCCCCTGCCCGGCCGGGGAGGGGCCGGGAGCCTGGCGGTGGGCACGGGGAGGGGTGGCCTGGTGGACACCCAACAGCGCGTGCACAAGAATAAGCGCAAGGCCTGTGTCTTCCCAGGTGAGGTCGGTCTTCCACGCTGTCAGTGCTGCCAAGGTGCCCCCGCCTGCCCCCTCGGCTGCCTGCCGGGCGGGTTTATTCCAGCTCCCATCCTTGGTATTTCCTGAGGATCCAAACCCTCTCTTCACGCTGGTTAATTGCCTGGAACATCAGAGGAGGCCGGGGGAGGAGGAAGCGGCCCCACCTCGGCCGCTGGTTCCTGACCCATGCAGCCGGCGGTGGGGAACCGCACACGTGAACTCGAAGCGACTGGGGCTGGAGTGACCTTTTAATATGCACCTCGGCCGGGCGTCATCCCTGTGGCTGGCGTCAGCCCTCGTCTGAGACGCAGCGTTTGCGAAATGTGCTGTGCAGGCCACAGATGCACACCAGGCTCAGAGCAAGGAGCCGTCTACTTATTTCTTTATTTATTATTCATTTGAGAGACAGAGAGGCGGAGATCTCCAGCCTGCTCAGTTCACTCCCCCAGATGCCCACGAGGCTGAGGCTGAGCCCGGAGGACGTCAGGAAACAGCCTGGCACTCCATCAGGGGCTCCCACGCGCGTGGCAGGGACCCAAGAACTTGAGCCATCACCTGCCGCCTCCCAGGGTGCGCCTTGCAGGAAGCTGGAACTGAAAGCGGAGCTGGGTCTCGAACCCAGACACTGCAACTGGGGACGCAGGGGTCCCAAGCTGCCTCTGACCCACTGCTCGGGTGGCTCGAAGCCCCTCCTGGGACAGAGGCCCGGCAGGGGGCCGCCCCGCACCCCCCACCCAGGGTGAGCCGGCCAGCTTGTCCGTCTCCCTTCCTCTGACTACTCCTTTGCAAGAACTGAGCCCTGTTGAGCGTACAGGGGCAGCGGGCAGCCATTCAAAGTGCCCCTTTTGGGTATGTGGCAGCCATGTGACCCAGGCCAGCCAATCACAGGCTCCCTAGCACGGGGCTCAGTGAAGGAGCCTGGGAGATTGTGATACTGAGGGGGCTGGCGCTGTGTGTAGCCGGTCCCCTCCCCACACTAAGGGAGCCCCAGCCCGGGAAGAGAGAACGAGGCCCTGGCCTCCCACTCACCCGGGGCTAGACGTCTAGAAGCCTCCTTCTTTGCTTAAACAGAATGTCAAAGAACATCCTCCTTCGCGCCAAGCCCTGTGGTGGTGCGGACAGAGCCCCGGGGTCCGCACCCAGCTGCCCCCACCTTCTCTCCGATCTCCCCTTCCCTTCCCAACCCCACTCACGGACCAGCCACCTGCCGCCTTGCTGATCCCCAGGTATGCCCCTCCCCACCCCGTCGGAATTCTCTTCTCCCAGGGGTTCACTGAGCCGAAACCTCGCCTTCAAATCTGTGCTCAAATCTCGCATCCTCAGCCAGGCTCACCCAATCGCTGGATCAAGCGATCGATCATTGATCGATTCTGGCCGTATCCGTTCTGCCCTCTCCAGAGGCCGCCTCCCTATCTCCGCGCTCCGGGGTGAGGGTCGTGGTTCACCGGGTCTGTGCCTCACCTCCAGCCACAGCCACAGGTCACTGAATTGCCTGGAATCCAGTCCATCTGATTCGGATTTCTGGCCCTGAGACCCAAAATAATCCAGATGGAGATAAGGGAGGAGTGTGGTTCTGGGTCCTGACTCCAACCTGTCTGCTTCCCGGAGCCTTGGGGAGCCCGGCGGGTGTGTATGAGTGGGACTGGCTGCCAGATGGGCTGAGACCACAAGGAGATAATGGACAGTGCCCCGGGACACCTGCTTCCGCTCCCCCCCTGCCCTGTCCGCCGGGGCTGGGGAAGAGTGTGTTAGGAATTCGCCAATGGCACACTCATCCTGCAATTGAAACACACAAGCTGACAGTCATCAGGTACAAGTGGTGAGAGCCGGAGGCTGCCACCAGCCCGCCCTGCTGCCGCGGGGCCGCTGACGCCATGCTGTTCCTGACATCCAAGGCGGCCTTCAGAAGTGGCACCGGGAAGGGACGCTGGCATCCCATGTGACGGCCAGGTCGAGTCCCGGCTGCTCCATTTCCCATCCAGCTCCCTGCCAATGCGCCTGGAAAAGCAGCGGAAGATGGCCCAAGATGGGCCCCTGCACCCACGTGGGAGACCCGGTGGAGATCCAGGCTCCTGGATTCAGCCTGGGCCAGCTACAGCTGCTTTGGTCATCTGGGGAGTGACCCAGGGATTGGAAGAGCTACCCCCCGCCCCGTACCTCTCTGCCTTTCAAATAAATAAATCTTTAAAAAGAAGAAGGAGTGACACCACCCTACAGCTGGAGTGATGGCCACAGGATCACTGGACACTGTCTTCTTGCCCCACACTGGGCCAACCACAGATGGCGTCAGATTTAAGGGAGGTAGAGTCAGGAGATCCATTTTAAAGATGTGTAGCCTGAGGCCCAGTTGGCAGCTGGCATCCGCGGGCACTGGTCCAGGGTGAGCTCCCCGGGGCGGTGGGACCTCTCCCTGCTTTGGTCACCTTTTGTCACTATGACAAAATACCGAGGCAAAGCCGCCTTATCAAGAAAAGCTTCCATTGTGCACACTCAGAGAGCGAAGAGCAGGAGGGAGCCAGGTGCGGGGCCGCCGCACGTCCCCACGGTGACCCTAACGCCTCTCCCTCTGCAGCTAAAGTCACCGGGGCTCCATCTGCGACCCCACCCTGGAGACTTCCCCGAAGCCCCGCCTCCAACCAGCAGTATCACACTAAGTTCCACGCTCAGAATCCCCTTAACCCAAGACTTCCGGGGTTAAAATCCCGAGTGAGTTTTTGGGGGGCACGTCAGCCCCCCCCATCCTCCAATGTCAGGATCGCCTGAGTCAGGAGACTCCGGGTAGAAGCCCCTTCCCTCTCAGGAATGGGGACACGGACGCAGCTCCAAGGGACGCTAACGGGAGACCCCAGGCACACACGGGCGCACGCTGGGTGGTCCTCTTGATAGGGACCGTCCACCACGGGCAGCCGCACAGGGACGGCAGATGGAGTGGTGGTGGCCGGGGGTAGGCAAAGGGAGACAGGAGCACCTTGGAGGGTGGCCCAGCTGGGGCTGGAGAGTGGGGATGGGCACACAGGCTGGTGACCTTGGTCTTGACATTGACTGGGAAGCAAACAGCCGGTGTGGGGGGTGCCGGCCTCCTTGGTGAGACTGTGCTGGAAGGCGGGCGCCACGAGGTGCTGGCACATTCCTGGTGGGGTGCCCTGTCTCAGGGGACACCGGCCCCGCGGCGGCGGCGGCGGCAGCAGCCCGTGATGGAGGCCATCTGCCGCTCCCCGGGCAGGCGCCAGGCCTTAGGCCGGCTGCCGAAGCGCAGGGGTGTGGTGGGGCAGGCGCGTTTCCTGGACCCAGCTGAGGGAGGAGAAGGGTTTGTCAATCAGGAACGGCTGCCAAGGCACTTCCAGGGAAGCTGCTCTCTCCCCGGGGGTGGCTCCAGGCAGGGGCTCGGGAGCCGGGGGTGCCAAGACCCTTTCAGGGCCCTCTTGGTTCACACGCACACGGCCCACAGGGCTGGCTCCCGGGGGCAGCTCAAGGATGGGCCACCCGCCTTGCGGCCCGGACAGGAGCCCAGGATTCCGTTCCTGGTGCAGGCTCCTGGGACAGCTGGCCAGGCCCCACACAGGAGAAACGGGAGCCCCTCCAACTCCCCCGCCCCACTGCAGCCCCCAGGCCCCACACAGCCTCGGGTTGCTCCCACAGCCTTTGTCACCAGGCAGGCATTTATGGCTGTTTGTTTTTTTTCTTTTTAAATCTCTTAAGCACGCTTCCTGCCTGCCTTCTGACGCAAGGACCATCCCCGGAGCTCCCTGACGGCCCCGCCAAAGTCAGCCTTGCCAGGCACAGGGGCTCGGCACCTGTGACAGCAGCAGCAGCAGCAGCCGCCGGCGTTTCTCCGGTGCCTCCGGGGGGCCAGGCACACCGTGGATGCTTTATGCGTAACCTCAGCGGCTTCGTCTTCGGCGCCCCACCTGCAGGGTACGGCAGCTTCAGGCCCATCTCACAGCGGAGGGACTGGCCCGGGGCTGCAGATGGCCGGCCTTATCTAAGGCCGCAGATCTGGACGGCCGTGGAGCGTGGAGCGTTCAGTTCTGAAGCCAAGGCCCCGTGCTCTGAACCCCCAGGCGGAGCTGTGGCTGGGATTCAAGCCAGCCGTTCCCTTGCACAACTCTTGTTGCTTAAAATTCCTTCTTCGTGCAGAGCTGGATCTGCCTTTCGAGGCCAGGGGACCACTCGCGCGCGCGCGCACACACACACACACACGCTCCCTTCCCCCTCCCCCAGCCCTTCAGGAACCCGAGGACACTGCTGTGTCCACCCTCGATCTTGTTTTTTGGGCCAAACAACTGCCAGCCAGCAGCTCGCCCTCGGAGCTTGGCTTGCAGCCCCTACAGCGGGCAGAGGGTCCCTGTGGCTCGTTACGGCCCCTCACAGAAGGCCACCCTCCCCAAGTGCAGCTGACTCGGCTCAGGCCGGAAGGGGCACACTCCCCCCACCACACACACAACCCTCTCTGCTCCGGGCGCCAGGAGTTCTGGGCTCGGAAGCAGGCCTGGACACGTAGTGGGCGGCACCAGTGCTCCTGCCCCGGAGTGATGCAGGGCTCCAGGCTGGGAACAGGACAGAGCAGCCCTGGGCTCGGGGCCCTCCTGAGTCGGGGGCCGTGGGGACCGCGCAGAGCTGGCGTCGGCTCCCAGCTCGGGGTAGGCGGGTCCCAGGGACAGCCAGCCCAGGGTAACATCGGAGATGGCCAGAGCCGCGGTCAGAGCTTGACAAGTCCCTCCAGGACCGTCTGTGCCGGGTACAAGTGCAGGCCAGCGTTGATTACAACGATAGCATCAGTGGTGATAGTAGATAGCTTGTTTTTAGTGCTTCGCCCAGTCAAACACCCTGCAGGGTTACGGGGGAGGGGAGAGAGTGAGAGATCCTCCATCCACAGGTTCGCTCCCCAAGTGGCCACAGTGGCCAGGGCTGGGCCAGACAGAAGCAAGGGGCTCCATCTGCGTCTTCCATGTGGATGGCGGGGCCCAAGCACTTGGGTCATCCTCTGCTGCTTTTCCCAGGCCATTGGAAGGGAGCTGGATTGGAAGAGGAGCAGCTGGGACTTGAACTGGTGCCCATATGGGATGCCAGCACTGCAGGTGGCGGCTTTACCTGCTGCCCCCCAGCGCCGGCCCCCACAGTGTATCTTTTAAATGACATTGTGCCTGGGACAGCTTCTCTCGTTTAATTCTCATTGCCTGCCGTTGGCAATGGAGTCTGTGATTATTCCCGTTTTATTGATGAGAGAACAGAGGGGCTGCTCAGCCAGTCCTGTGGCTTGAAAGTGGCCTGCCCGCAGCCTTCAGACGTACCTAGGGAGGAGGCCTGAGGCCAGGGCAGCACACAGCCCGGGGCAGAGTCCCTGGTCTGCCGCCCAGGGCGTGGTCTCCCCTTCCCGCCTCTCAAGCCCTCAGCAAATCAGATGACGCCTGCTCCTGCTGGGGGCGGGGGGGCCTCTGCTCCCAGGGATTCAGACAGAGCTCTCAGCCAGACATACACAGATAGCCAGGGGGCCCCGTGGGGAGTCCAGCCAACCCAGGAAACTAACCATCGTCTGTGCCCCCATCACCATCCCGCCATCCACCTACATCTCCTAAAGGATGTTTAAGCTCTCACTCAAATCAGAAACACAGTCACGACTCCGCCTGATGTGACACCGCTGTCCCGGTCCAACCACAGCCGCACCGGTCGCCTCCCCAGACGGGGAGATCAAGTCTTCAAGTGAGGTTCACGCCTTCTGGTACCCCAGGGCTTCAGTGCTACCGTATAAAGTCAGTGCCTCTGGGGCCGGCGTTGCGGCACAATGGGCAAAGCTACTGCCTGTGACGCCGGCATCTCATACGGGCTGCTCTGCCTCCGCTTCTGCTCCCGGCTAATGCACCTGGGAAGGCAGCAGAAGATGGCCTGAGGGTTTGGGTCACCACCACCCACACGGGAGACCCGGATGGAGCTCCAGGCTCTGGCTTTGGCCTGGCCCAGCCCTGGCCACTGTAGCCATTTGGGGAGTGAACCAGCGGATGGAAGACCCCCCCAGCCGTCTTTGTCACTCTGCCTTTCAAATAACCTTTAAATTTTTTTTTAATTTTAATTTTAGTTTTTGACAGATTCAATGTGATTTGTAGATACGATTTTAAGAAACAAATCTTTTTTTTAAAAAAAAAAAAAGGTCAGTACATCATACGCAACGTGACCGGGGATAAGAGCGAAGACGGCTGCACGGACCCTCACAGTGAGCGCGGAGCAGCGCTCGTGGCAGCGGCACTGCTGTTTCAGCCGCTCCTCCGGCTTGTAAACCCCGGCTGCTTGGAGAAACATCCCCACTCGCCGGAGGCCAGGCCAGGACACACACAGCCAGCTGGGGACCTTGCTCCGGCCCTGCTTGGTGGTACAGCCACCGAGCTGTCCGGCTTCGGGATGGTGGGAAACACGGAATCATGGCTTGCGGAACCTCTGTGGCTGGGAAGTGGGGTCTGGCCCGAAGCGAGGCAGTGGCCAAGGCGTTCAGTGGGTCCCCAGGGGGTGGTTTGGGCAGAAATATTGCCTGCTGGGAAGGCAAATCGATATCCTGAGTGTCTGTTCCAGCAAGGACGGAACGCCACTCCTTCCACGATGCAGGTGGCCGGGCGCCTGGGGGAGCGGCGCTCCATGTCGGCAGACCAGACGCTCGGCGGGGCCACAACCAGGTCGTCCTGGCTCTTGAGTTCTTTGGGCAGTGACGGGGTGGCTGGGGACGAGGTGAGCGGTGTCCACAGACAGGTCTTCCTGTCTATTATTTTTACTTATTTGAAAGGGTTACAGAGAAAGGTAGACACACACACACACACACACACACACACAGAGGTCTTCCATCTGCTGGTTCACTCCCCACGTGGCCACAATGGCTGGAGCTGCGCCGATCTGAAGCCAGGAGCCAGGAGCCTCTTCTGGGTCTCCCACACAGGTGCAGGGGCCCAAGCACTTGGGCATCTTCCACTGCTTTCCCAGGCCATAGCAGAGAGCTGGATCGGAAGTGGAGCAGCCGGGACTTGAACAGGTGTCCATATGGGATGCGGGCACTGCAGGCCGGGGCTTTAACCCCCTGTGCCAAGCGCCGGCCCCGCGTCCACCCAGTCATTCTCTGCTCCTCTGCTGAGGTCACCTTTGGGACCCAAAAATCTTCATCCGTTCTTCCTCACTCAGAAGGGCCTTTCCCACACAGTTCTCCCCCAAAATGTTTGTCACCTGCTTTCCAGCCCTGGTCCTTCCGAGCCCCTGACCAAATCACCGGCCACAGCCCGTGAATCCGTATACGGTCGCCCTGTGGTCACTTGTGCTTCCAAGGAGGGTGCAGTGGTCAGAGTTCTGCCAGTGAGGGGCACTCCCCTCGCCACTGCCCTACAGGGCCGTCCCAGAGACGAGCTGTGGTGCCGCCCACCTAGTGGACACAGCCCCCGTGAACCAAGCCTGCATCGACTCTTTGTCAGCTGACTGTAGGGTACCCCCAGGAGGCCACAGGTGCAGCCTGGGAGAGAGCAGGTGGCAGGAGCAGGACCAAGTGCGTTTGGGCCACTGCAGGTGACTTACCTGGACCACCCAGGCCTGCTCGGGCGGGAGAGGCGGGAACTCACCTTGTCCTGAGACGGGAAGTCTCAGCACAGCCCGTACCACGGGAGCCCACGGGACGCCACGGCCGTGGAGGCCCCGCCCTCAGCCAGCCCCTGCCGAGCGGCAGGTCCCAGCGCGTCGGCAGTGCCTGCTGCTCCTTGCTCCCCGGCTCCGATCAGCAAAGCGTCGCCAGCACCGTGGGTCAGTGTGGCGCCTTGGGGAAGGGAAATTGGCCCAGGTCCCTGCTTACATCGCGAGCCAGGGCTGCAGGGGTGACCCGCCCGAGGCAGCACGCTGGCGGCACGGCTGGCCTTGGCCATGGACGGGAAACTGCTGCCTGTGCCCTCGTGCGCAGGGGTGGGGGCACACTCCGCAGATCAGCGGCTGCACACAGCAGGGGCGGGGGACGGGGGGGGGCGGGGGAGGTACTGTCAACTCTCTCAGGCGCTGTGTCCGCTTGTGGGACAGCAGTGAAAGACAGAGGCAGCGCCAAATCTGGAACTGGGAAAGGGACCATGGATGGGCTCGGGGACGCACTGCACGCACAGTGAGACGGACCCGAGCTGGAACCATGAGTCCCCTGGCCTCCATCAGCCCCTGCCCTGACGGGGGGCCGCAGTGACACTGGGGGCCTCCCGGCATCTGTGTCATTTGTCAGTGTCCAGTAGTCCCCAGCTGTCTGATTACTTCCCTTTCCCTGGGCACGTTCCCCCGGTGGAAGGCCATAGCTTTGGGGAAGGCTGGGAAGGACCAAGCACCACGCATTTCCCATAGGGCACTGGGGTCCTTCCTGGAGGGGATCTCAGCCTCCCCTTCGGGCAAGGAGTCGCAGGCTGGGGGCGCACCGCGGGGCCCTGACGCGCTGTTTTGTGATTCAGGAGGGAGGTTTGTGCGTCTGACCCGAATTCTGCCTGTGTAGATCACGTGGGGATTCCGAGGCTTCCTGTCTCCTCGCTGCTGGGACCCCAGGACCAAGTGGCCAGCGCCACAGCCCTGCGGACTGTCTCCTCCGCCGTGCACTGACTCAGCCCCATCGCGGCAGCCACGCCCACTCTGAATGCCACCACTTGGCCCCTGCACCTTGGGACCTGGTGGCCCCACTGCCTTTGAGTTGCCAATTGGCTGAGTGCCAGGTCCCTTGGCCAGATTCTGCCCTACAGAGGGGCAGCCACAGGGCTCCACTCCCAGCCTGTTCCTCACGGTACTGGAAGGGACATCTTCCGGGTCCCTCCAGGTGGGTGAGAGCTCGTAAACCACACGCCCAGGCTAAGGTTCCCATCCCCCAAGCCTCTGCCTCCCAAGGGTATCTGGCGCATCCACTCAAGGCCCCTTCGGGATGCGTGCTTCAACCACCCACTAACCAACCATCCCACCAACCAATGACACAACCCACCTACCAACCAACCAGACAAGAAATAACCCACCAACCAACCAAACAAGCAACCCACCCACCCACCCTCTAACCAATGAGCTCCCCCATCAACCCACAATCCAACCAATCCACCAAATAACCAATCAGCTAGCCCCCCACCAACCAAGCCAACCCACCAGCCAACCTACCTACCCACCAATAAACCAACCAAACAACTCACCCAGCAACCAACCAAAGCACCAATCCACAAACCATTCAACCCACCAATCAATCAACCAACTCCTTCACCA